GAGAGAGAGAAACATTAATGATGAGAGTCATTGATTGGCTACCTCCTGCACGCCTCCTACTGGGGATTGAGCCCACAACCCAGGCATGTGCCCTGACCGGGAATTGAATGGTGATCTCCTGGATCATAGGCTGATGCTCAACCATTGAGCCATGATGGCTGGCCTTAACTCCTTTTTTCTTCTAATTTTTGTATTGATATAAAATTCACATAATATAAAATTATGATTTTAAAATGTACAACTCAGTGGCTTTTAGTATATTATAATGTTGTGCAGCCATCAACACAATCTAATTCCAGAATATTCAATCATCTCAAAAAGAAACTCTAGCAGTTATTCCCTATACCCCCTCCCTTTCTAGCCCTTTTCCCCCTTTCTAGCTATCACTTTCTGCTTCTGTGGATTTGCCTATTCCGTAAATTTCATGTAAATGGAAATCATATAATATGTGACCTTTTGTATCTGGTTTCTTTCACATAACATGTTTACAAGGTTCATCCATGTTTTCGTATGTATCAGTACTTCATTCCTTTTTATGGCTGAATAATATTCCACTGTATGGATACTCCACATTTGTTTGTCCATTCATTAGTTGATGGACATTTGGGTTGTTTTCACTTTTTAGCTAACTATGAACATCCATGTACAATGTTTGTGTGAATGGATTGTTTCCAATTCTCTAAGAGCAGAACTGCCAGGTCACATGGTAACTCTATGTTTAACCTTTCACAGAATGCCAATCTTTTCCACAGTGGTTGCACCATTTAACATTCCCACTAGCAATATATGAGGGTTGCAATTCTCTACATCCCTACCAACACTTATTATTTTCCATTTTGTTAAGCTTTCAAAATCAGTTTCCTCATCTACAAAATGAGAGGAATGCCTACCCTTTAGTCATTTATTTAAGTTTTTTTGAATGTTGAAAAGGCTCTACATACAAATGATGATTTAATAATCATCACTGACTTGATTCTAGGCCAGAAAGACAGACATTTAATAAGCAACTATACAGTAAGTGTTTTTATAAATATTGTGATACATAGGAGTACCATGAAAGGTGATTAATGGGGAGCCTAACTTGGTCTGGAGATGAAGAAATGACAATGTAGATAAACATACAGGAAAGGAGGAGAAAATATGAGATGAGAATGGAGACACAGGCGGGAACAGATGACACAGGGAATTGGGAATTTATGCTAAATGAAACATGGCAACCTGTACTTTCTTAGCATAACTGTTTATGTAACTATTTGTTACAGTGTCTTTTTCACTGCTTTATCTTTGATGCCCAGAATATAGAAGGTAATCAAATTTATTGAGTGAATGACTTACTCATCCTCTATAGACAGAATATTCTCTTACAATACTGCTACATGACACTCTTTCTCTTCTCCAGATTAAATAATGTATTTAAAATGCTCTTAAATTTTCTTTTCTAACCTTTATCGTTATTGTTTTCTAGATTTTCTTCAGGATTTCCAAATTTCTATTTTTAAAAAACTGAAGGAGTGGAATCCTGCCCTTCATCAAAGAATGTCTGCTAATAAACATAGAATGGACACAAATTATAACACACCATATGCAACCACCAATGTAATAACTGATTTAGCCTAGGATTATCAATGGATATTATTAAAATTATTAGGCGAAATAATGTAGAACAGTTCACACAGCCACAAAGTATCAATAACCAAAAATTACTAATTAATTACAAAGGGAGAAAGGTACATTGACACCTTAGCTAAGAAATCAAACCTAACATCACCAATAATGGAGAAAATGGACCATATATGTCTCTTGATGTGTTCACCAAAGATGACTTAATATCACCTATGTAGTATTTTTACCAAGAAAATTTTAAACTGAATCTAATCACGAGGAAACAATCAAAGTAAAACTGTAGGACAGTCTACCAAACAACTGCCTTGAAGTCTTCAAAAACGTTGACAACATGGAAGACAAAAAATAGGCAGAGGAACTATTCTGTATTACAGGAGGCTACAGACATGGGATAATCAATGGGACCACACAATGTTTTACTGGATCCTGGACTGAGGGGATAAAATGGCACAACTGTAGAAGGCATCTTCATACAACTGGAGAAATCTGAGCATGGCCTGTATGTTAGACAATGTTATTGTAACAATGTTAAATGTCTTAAAAGTGATACTGGTATTGTGATTATGTAGAATGGATTCATTCTCAAGAGAGAAAGATGCTGAGGCATTTAGAGGTAAAGCACCAGAATGTTTAACAACTTTTTTTCAAATCATCCAGTAAAAAACAGTTTTAGAGAGATTAAGCAAATGTGGCCAAATGCTAACAACTAATCAATCTAGATAAAGAATATATGGTGTTTATTGTACAATTCTTTCAACTTCTCTGTAGGTTTTAGATTTTTCAACATAAAAAGCTAGGGAAAAAAGATAGTGATAAGAGTATATGTGTCAGTATGCAAAATAAAGCTCACTACTACATTATATATAACTTATCCACCAATAGAGTAATGATACACTATGATGCATTCATAGAATACTACACAGCAGTTACAATAAAAAACCCAGAAGATCAAGATAAGCAGATCTTGAAAACTGTACTGGGTACAAATAAAATAAGTGGCTTGGCTGATGATACAGTGTGACACCATGTATGTTCATTTTTTAAAACTCAGGGAAGGAGTACTATAGGCTGGTTATGGCTGAATGTACATACAATAAAGGTATTCTTGGGCAGGAAGGAGGTAAATCAAATGAAAGATTATTGATTTCCACTAAAAAGGGAAGAAAGAAAAGGAATTGGGAAGAATACAAAGGGAGGAATAAAAAAATGGGAAGGATGTAGGGTAAAATGTTATCATTTGTTACTTGGATAAATGGATACAAAGGTATTTATTATATTACTCTGCATGTAATCTTTTCAATACGATTTATATGATAAACAGATGAATTTTCAACTTTTCATATCTATCATATTTAATCAAGTATTTAATTAATTACAAGTGATATGTGAACTGATAAACCTGTATAAAGTACAGTGTAAAGCTTTCTAAAATATATATAAATCAATTAACCAGAACAATACAGCTATCAATGACAAGGCAGGGCTATGGAGAGACAGTCAATAGCTGAGGCAAGAACTCTACCTCCATAACAAAAAGGAAGATTAAGAAAAAGCCAAGTTGAGAATTCAAAAATACTATACTGGTGATGAAAGGAGATGACATCTAGTATTAGAGTCTGGGGTAACTAAAACAGATTGAATTTTTTTAAGTGCTACCATCCGATCATGAAAAGGAAACAAGGTGCTAAACCAACAAGACACTTTAATATATGTGAATTACATGACATTGAATAGGAACATGAGAAAGATCCTTATCCAAAGCCCTGGGAAGAGGCAGAATTTAGATAAGAGGTAGGAAATAGCCTTTCCTATTGACCTGAAAAGACAAAGTACAAGCAGAAGGGGAAAACAGGACAGCATCATAATGCAAAACACTCACAAATCCTGCCTTTTGTAATAATTCTGTAAAAGTTCTACCACCTTACTCACATCTGTATTTTATTAAACATCTACTGAGAGACTGGCATCTAATAAATATCTATTAATTTTAATAAATGTCTACTGAACAAAGGTGTATAAAGGTCCCACTTATAAGTCTTAGCATTCCCAGATTACACCAGACCCTTCCTTTAACACATCCAAGAAATACAAATATAACTGACACAGGGAAATAAAAAAGAAACTGTTAATGGCCATGCTGATGACAATTCTTTCCCAAGAAGGTTCTCTTGAGGAATGAGCCTAATACAAACATCTATAATGTGGCACAGATATCCTCAGCCTGCACAAACTCTCCTGAATTTATAATTTATACCAATATAAGCAAAGATATATTTTGTATTGAAAATTTGTCATTTTCACATCCTACCTTCAGTTTTCTGCTGTAAAACTGCCATCAAATGTTCTATAGCTTCATCCACGTGCAGTCCATGGAGGTCTAAAACATTCTGTGGCAGCAGGGAGGCATTGACTTTCTCAAAGATCTCCACGGCAGCAAGGTGATTGGCTTCCTTCATCTTCTGCTCATGGAGACTACCCTTTAATTATAAACATGTCACCAATAAACACTTGTGATATTTGCTACTTGCTAGGCAAGAAACAAATAGTGGCCCAAATAAAAGGTAGAAAAAAAAGGGAGACTATTCTAAAATTTTTAAATGCAATTTCCATGGATTAACAAGCTAGTTCTCAAACTAATAAATAATTTCTAACATATTTCCTGATCCAAAAATCATAGAAAACAGAAACTTAAACATTGCCCGTCTCAAGAAGGAATTCATTGGTAACCCCAAATCTCATCCCTTTCAACACCTTGTAATTACCCCTGAAGCAAACCCTCAAGGTTTGCTATTAGGGCTCACAGGTTATACCAGCTTGATACCTTTCTCTGCTCAATCACAAAAAAGCAAGCCACATGGAACCACAAAAATAAAAAGTAAATCAGGCAGATTTCTTGTAATACTATGCCAAATGAGCCCCAGTCGAAATTTTACTTCCCTGAAAGATATTAATGTAACTTTCTTTTTCTGACTATAAAAGTGATACATTGCTGGCTGGTGTGGCTCAGTGGTTGAGTGTCAACCTATGAACCAGGACATGAGGGTTCGATTCCCGGTCAGGGCACATGCCCAGGTTTCAGGCTTGATTCCCAGTAGGGGGCGTGCGGGAGGCAGCCAATCGATGACTCTCATCATTGATGTTTCTATCTCTTTCTCCCTTTCTCTTCTTCTCTCTGAAATCAATAAAAACTTTTTTTTTAAGTGATACATTACTAAAAATTCAAACATGATATAAAGCACAAGGCTCTATGATCCCACCCTGAGATGGCCAATATTAACATTCTGCTGTCTTTCCTCCAGAAGACTTGTATCTGTTTAGAAATGGTACTGAATGGGTGAATCTAACCACAAGAAAATGTGGACTGTCAGAATAAACTGCAATTCATGTAAGCTGTAAATGCAAAAGCAACCACAGAAATTGAGCATTTCAAAGATGAAATTCTCAGAACCATACATTTATTATGTATCAAGACACCTTAAGTCACTTACATAATCTACATGCCCCAGAATAACTTTATCTAGCCACAATACAAGTATTACCTGCCTCAAGATTCTTCGGACATCCTAAGCGACAAAGAAGAAACCAATGGTAAGTTTTCCCCTATACCTGCTGGGCATAAAAGGTGGCAACGTGTTTCTTCCCCATGCGATAGGCGTCCCTGGCCTTGCTGTAGCACTCCACCCTCTTCTGCTGGTGCAGGAAGGCCTCTGCCCTGTAGTCGTCATACTCTGGGTACTCCAAGTCCTGGAAACAAGGTTCACTTGGCATTTCATCAGTCTCTTTCGACTTCTTTGCCTACAAAATATTACCCAGTAAGTACAACACAAAGAAAGTAGAAGATACAGGCTTTACCTTCATAAAAATATATATGAAAACTAAGCTCTATTATTTTTCATTTTTCTTCTCAGAAAAGAGAATCTCCCCAATGCCTACCTAGTAAGTCATGCACTTACTAATGGAAAATTTTTCAAATTTTAGTTTGTAAACCCATGCAAAGGGTCAAGTCACTGAAGCTAGTAATGATGGCAGGTAAGTCTTTTTTTTTTTTTTTT